TGGCTGTCGAGGGTGTGTGACCACGAGCTAGCCACGTGAAGGGTTCTCACACATCTTTTTTTCCGTAATGGTCTTTTGTCTCGGGTATGTGTAGATATCTTTCCTGACTGAGGGATGGGTGAGGAATGTAAGATATTATTTCCATTTACACTTTTGGAAATACACCCTTAAGACAGCAGCTGAATGACGTGGACTGTTCTAGTGTTATGACCTACCCCCCCCCTCCTCCCACTTATTTCAAGTATTTGACTTGAATCACTAAATGTAGATGATCATCCTACCACACAAGAGCAGGGCGAATTTTCGTTTGTTTTTTAAATTAAACTCTATAATGTGGCTTTATTATTTTTTAACCACGCGAATCGAGTACTCACTTTTGAACTGAAAAAGAGTACGCTAATGGCGTCAGTACATGGCCCTTATTAAAGAATGAAATGACATTTCCGTAACGTTGATTTATTGCGTGGCTCAACACGCACGATTATGTGGCATTGGGGGGGGGGAGATGTGGGTGGAGTGATGGTGATGGTGTTGGAGTGATAGGGTTGGAGTGACGGGGTTTGAGAGATGGGGTTGTAGAGCTAGGTCTTTAAAGGTTTGAGAGGGAGAGATTTGGTTGCAGACTTTAAGGTTTGACCCATGAGACTAAAATGATGGGATTGGAGTGATGGGGTTGGAGTGATGGGGTTGGAGTGATGGGATTAGAACAATGGGGTTTGCAGTGTTTGGTTATGGAATGGTGTTTCTTAAATAGATCAGGTTTGAAACGATAATTTGGATTGTATAGAATGGGTGAATATAATGTGTATAAATTGATTAAACTTGTTAATTTTGCAATTCATGTTCAGGTGCGGTAACACTTGGTCAGAGAGGAGACAATGAGCTTCTCATCCTTGACTATGATATTAATGAAAGGATGGAAGGATGGGTGGATGGACGGACAGGTTAATGGATGGGTGGATGGACGGACACATTAATGGTTGGGTGGATTTGCAAGAAATCAATGGATTTATGGGTGGGTACATGGCTAACTGGATAGGTATAGAAATTATAAATGTGTGGGTTAGCCGGATATATTGATAGGTGTATAACTTATTTATATATACTGGCTATACTTTCAATACTGCCTATACCAGCTATACTTGCTGTAATGAATATGCTATTAATAGTGGTGGCAATACCACTAACATGTTTTTTCTAAAAAGATCCTTGCATATTATTCTGTTACTATTTTCAGTTTCCCGGTCATTGTTTTCGTCGCCCTGACCCGGGGAATGCCCAACTACTAATGAAACGATAGCTATCTTTGTCTGAGCGAGCTGTCCCCCTGTGGTATTATGCCAAGCGCTTGAGCGCCCTCCAGTAGGTCTGAATGAACAGCGGGGAAACAGCTGGGCACATTGTGGCACATTGCGGGGTGGGGTGGGGGGAAGTGGGGGGGGGGACAGGTCAACGTGTGAATGTGTAAACCCACCACCTCTGAGCCTGGTTTCAACGTAACGTGCGGTGTACAGCTGTAGGTTGACCTCCCACCCGGGAGACATGGGCGGGTGGTGTTGGGTGG